CAACGGAAGTCAATGTTGCTGAGGCATTTGAACATTATCGCTCACTATTAAATTGTTACTTTGGAATAGCTAACTTATCCTCTCTGGGTCCTATATCTATAACGCAATCAATAGCAGTGGCTGATTATTCTGTTTTGATTGATTCAGGAAGAGCTGAATATAATTTTTCGGGTATGTTCGGTGGTAATGCCTATGCTGAAATAACATTTTTTACTAGTACAGCAGTAAAAGCGGGTAAAAATGTAATGATAGGTAAGTAAGTACTGAAATAACTAAACAAGACAGTCACCTTTTGAACATATATTTTCTTAAAGGCCTGGACGATCGCCAGAATGAAACTGAAACCATATTATTTCAACATAAATTTGGTGCAATACCATTGGATACTCGACAATTGGTCCTAATTATTTATTTTGAAAAATTTCCTGAAAGGAAAGACATAATTTTGCTGTTTTTGATAATGTAAGGTTTTCTATTAAACTAAAGACATGATTAAGACACAAACAGATAATATTCTTTCCATTGTGATGTATCTTAAAATCTGCACTCTTTGCCAGATATTATATTGCAATAACAATTCGATGTGGAACTAAACATGAAACATCTGATAAATAAAGTATCAGCTTTGTTTTGAACAGACATGGTAACGCGCGTCTGCACTCGCTCTGTCCCTGGACTTTAGCAACTTATATCTGCGAACGACCTTCCATGACTTTTGAATCCAAGATGAAACACTATGAGAATTGCTGATGTTGTTTGTGATTAATATACTTTGAAGTTTCCGTTGAAAGATTCTTAATTTCATTCTTCCTGCTCGATATTCTTCTATTCGTTTTTCTTGTACCTCTCTGTAATAAACTGATAGCTAGATCCCCTTTAGATGGACGATCTATATGACAATCCTACTGTGATATTAAAACATCATGATTTGATGAAGATGAAGTGGCTGATACAGGTTACTTTCTTTTTAGACTCCATCATTCAGTACTTTGTGCAATGAATACTTTTTTAAAACCACTAAATCCAATAAATTTTTTAACTAATTTTTACACGAAACGTCAGAAGAAAAGTATGCGCTGTACTCAACCGAATGTATCAATCAATCAACTCAATAGAGTAGTCAAATTATGAATAGAATTTCATACAATTACAAACTGATAGTTGTTTACAGAATCAGTTTTGAAGTATAACCCAAAAATCTGGTTTGAGTAAGCACGTATTACAAACAAGTCATTCTATTAATTCTTTCGACAAAACGAATATTTTAGCTCATGGTAATAGCAATTATTGCTTTTTATAGTGAGTCTTCGGCTATATGGGATAACTCTCCATAATTTAATGGCAGCGACTTTCTATACATTGTGAAGGGATTTTAATTACAAGCAATAAGGTAAGGACCGAGAAAATTATGATTTCGATCTTCGTTTCGCTTTTAGGTCGCTCTTTTTGTGAAAAGCCCTTTTCAAGTTAAGTGAATAAAATATAGGAATGGAAAATAATATTTTTTTTATGAGATACAAAATACATGAAATAAAGCATAATAGCAGCAAATCGTTTCTAAGCATCGTTCTCGCTGACTTTCATTGATCTATCTTGATCGGTATAGGAGTTTCACCTTTTGGTACCGAACGTACCGCTCTGACAAGGTTCTTTATCCATTTCTGTGTGATTTTGACCAATCCGTGCGTATGTTTCAAACTACAGTACGTGTATTTTGAATCATCATAAAAACATAAGCTCGTAAAAAGTCAAAGCATGTTAATTCCTTTCAATTTTTCGTACGGACTAAAATTCATTATTCCGTCGATTTTATCCTTCAATAAATGTAAACGCCTTAAGGCGTTTATATGAATCGAAAAAAAATTTAGCTCCAGCCACTGTTCTCTTTGCAGGTCAATTTTCTCGAGGACTCTCGCATAAGTTTAAGAAAAACAAGTATGTCTATATAAGCTAATAATTATTCTGAAAATACGCAGGAACAGGTATTAGAAAAGGCTAAGCGAGATTAAAAACATGATTGTCTTCACCACCTTCGTTAGGCTATTATTTTTGGCAGATTCTTTCAACTACTGCGTGCGGTACCATTTTAATTTTTTCTAGTGATCTTCTCTTGTCGAGCAAAGTATAGTATTTGTCAAATTAATGCCTTTTTCCAGGATCAAAGCGACTTTTC